ATGGTCCGCATCCATTCTTAAGGGCATAAAGGACCATATGATTTTCTTATGCTAGAAACATGCACCTTGTTAAGTGAAATCGCTAATCTCTAATGCAATGAATGATCTGGTTAAAACGTATTGAGAATTGGAAATTTTGCAGCACAAAAAACCTTTTTTGGGTATGAAATACGAAGAGGACGTACGTTGCTATCACATGAGTAAAGTAAAACATGATATCATGCATTTTTATAAAACGTATTGGAATATAATAGACCGTCGAAAAAAAATTTAAAAATGCATGCTAATAAAGTAGTCATATTTTGTCGAGTCTGACATCTACATGAGTCTAAAAAGACATCGCATGTCATCGGCAAAATATCGCTGGTCGATTTTCGCACTAAGAGCCTTGACAATGGCGAGCTGACCAAGCTCCCGAGACGTCAGAAACGCAATCCTCTATGACCCTGTGAGCAATTCCCTTTTCTCAGCGATACTTATAAACACATGTTAAACGCACAATATCTGATAAATCCGGTTCGCCGACGGTCTACATTTTCCTTAGAGCACAAAATTTATGTTTGCGAATAAATGATTTGTGTGGGGGCTTAGAAGATGTGTCGCATATTTTTGCACGCCTAAACAAATATGACCCTTTTCTACCAGAATATTTGTGACAGGTCGTTTTATTGTCTGCAACACCCTTATTATCTTACTCCACAATTGTGAATGCTTGACGAGGAACGGTGTCTAATAATATTTTAATAATTATGCAATGCCCTTCAAAATCACTTTGTTTGCCTTTGGCGCTAAAACACGGAGTTTGTGCACATAATTTTAAAACAAGCATTCGATAAGCCATTGCCGCAACCCAATTGCCCATCTTATTCTTCCTTCTGCACGCTCCTTGGTCAGTAAATGAGCATTCCATATTGGCTGCAAAACCGGCTTAAATGTCACTAAAACTTGTTTGTCTTACAAATACACATGCATGATGCACCGTTTAATTTTCGTTCCAATTATTTATTATGTGTGTGCCGAGGCATGTTTGTTATTGTGGACTACTCGGTGCGTTTTCCTTACACTGTAACAGCTCTATGAAAAGCCGATCTTCTACTGTGCAGTGGCTCCTGTGTGACTGAATATAAGCCACATGTACATATTGACTAATACGCACTTTATGAACTTATGACTTTTGTAATGTTTTAAAGGTCAACTGTGTGAAAGTGTTTATTTCTTATTTTGCCTTTCAGTGTACAGACAAAATGCCCAAGGAGAGGTGCCGCGTTACATATTGATGATGTCGTCGAACATTTACTTAAAAACGTTCTTAATGCAGCGATAATTTTGCCGCTGCCAAATGACGGTCGTTTTTGGATACAAGCGCATTTTGAACGAAGCAAGCGCCAAATAAAATGCCATTTCCTGACTGATATTGCTGAAGCTAGATATGTGAAATACGCCTGCTATGTTGAATTTTCGAGTATGCAAATATCTGTGTGGAAGAAGGTATTGTTTAGTTTCTACCATGTATTGAGTTTCTGCAAAACACAACCCTTCTAATCTGAACTGTTGCCCAAGCTCTATACAATAATCTTCGCTAAATAGTTAAACTGATGACCGTCATGATTATTCTGATTACAATTTCATTAGACACGGTATATGAGGCGCAATCTGAAGGTGGTTGTTCGTTTCGCGTATGCTAATATAGTCTAAATCATGCAGCACTACCCATATAGCAAAAAGTAAAACGTTTTGAGCATGATAGCAGTTACCAATTTGCATGCCTCTCTTATCTTGATTATAAACCATCGAATAAATACGGTTTATCTTTTGGATAATGCTTATGAGCACATGCGAACGAGCCTGCAATTAAAGAAGATGTTCAAATTCAGACCACCAATAAATCAAATCTTTGGTAACATCAATGGTTTGCAATACACATGGCGTTTGAGCGGACAGTTGCAATTTTTGACGTCAAAACAGCGCTTCGTGTGTACTAAAGCCAAAAATGTATTACATGATCGAAATATGTTTTAAAAAATAAGCCATTATACATGATATGAAATACAGTTTTGGCATCGATCAGTCATATCCGCTTTCTTCATTCAGTGAATAATCAATTTTTAAATTCAAAGAAACTAGCGGGCATGTCATGCATGCACATTACAAAAGATGTAACCGGCACGCATGCGGCCATCCTGATCACTTAATGGGTTTAGCTGTTTCTTTATGTTTTGATTTGGAGATAACGTACTTAGTGGCAGCTTCCAGCTAGTCCTTAATGTTGCAGATATGACCGTTACTGAACCTTGCAGCTGCGATTAAAACGCAGGACCGACGGAGATTTCAATTCAGCAAAAAAACAATCGTTATATTGTGATGGAGCATTTTCATTACTCCGTATTTGGTCAGTCAGTTTGTTTTACTGACAGACGCGTTAGTCCTCTCCTAACCCATTCATTTCAAATATGTATATATATATATATATATATAGATTAAATTATTCTGCAAGTGATCTATAAAAAAAATTGAAGAAGCATAATTAAAAAGTTGGTTCACAGGACAGCGTTTGTTACACGAATACTGGCATGTGACATGCATGATTGCGTATTCCGCTGTTTACGTTTGCATCAATGCACGTCCTTTCTAATAAAAGGTGTTAGGCGACTATGCATATACACTGCTGTCTACCACTAAAACAACGTCTACGATAACTGTGGACATACCCTACTGGAAAATCCACACGGGTGAGCCAAATATAGTCCGACTGTCGAATTTCGTGCCAAATGAGATGCGAAAACCTAGTATACAAATAACGTCAGTAGGACTTTTCCTGGACGATGGAGCTACCTTTCAGAGAATTTTGTAAGGATTCTATTGCATGTCTTTGCTTTGTCCAATGACGCTTCTTGTGCAATATGAACTTGTTCCGTGGTTTTGTTTCGTGGCTTGGTTGCTTATTAAACACATACTGCGACGCCAAATATATAAAGTCTAAAAAGCAAACTACTATTCCTTTTTGATTTTTGACATTTCCTGTCCACAGTAGGACGGTTTGTGTTAAACATCAACACCTAATTAATTGTATGGTCCTTGAATTGTGTGAAGTTATTAAGGCCCATTTGGTTGTTCCAGAGAAATTTTGCATTTGATGCCCATTGTTGGGACTTAGCTAATAGGAAAGCATATTTTTTCAAAGGTCTTAAAGCGTTCAAATTACTAGTCCTCAACGTGTTCATGGAAATCATTGTAAGTCTGAGATAAAGCTACAATTTTTGACGGCGAATTCTATGGAAAGCCTTAGTAGCCAAAGTCAAAAGCAGATATCAATGTGTTTGACATAAACCGGCTGTTGTACTTTAATTTGCGTTTGGATTCGATGATAGTTCGACCATCGATTTCGATGATGTCCACCGTGTGCTTCACAGCAGCAGCGGTGGTAGCAGGGACTGTGACATGCGCAGGGGTTTATAGTGCCAGTAGACTTTCGCTACATCTACCTACTCACTTTCCTCCTTCCTCGCCCGAGCCCGGAGTCAAGACAGAGTCACGAAGACGGGAGACGAGGGAGGCCGCCGGTGGATGGCTCGGACGGATCCTCACCTTGGCGTTCCACCACACCCCCTGGTCCACGCAACAAATAACCAGGATTTCAACCAACACAACAGAGATTTGGAGGCTGGCACGGCCGAAGCCGCGCCTAGGCGTGCCGTCGACGCCTGGCTCGGATCCCACACTGTGGTGGGAGTGCCATAAAGGCCACATTAAGAAGGAGCCATTGCAGCCTGACTCTTACACCCCCAGTCAAGGAGGTCCAATGTATTCCGTCAGTTGGCAACCTTCCAGGCAACGGCTTTTAGCGCGTCATGATAGCTTCAAGCGCGTCAGATTGTTTGTAGTGAGGAGAAAGTGCGCTGTCGTCAACCTCACTCTTTCTTCCCATTCCCACACCCAGTCACTCTCCAAGGCGGTCAGCGGACTGGAGTTGGAAATGGGCGCGGTGGCTGGCATGGTCGACTGACAATGACTGCGCGTCAATCAGCAACCTTCCTATCCACGACGTTTCACGTGTCGGGATAGTCTCAGACTCAAGTCACCCGTGCAGCCGAAACCACATGAGGCCCGAGTCGAGATGCAGACTTCCCACTTGCGTGGGAGTTGGCACTTGGGTGCCTGCGGTGGGTGTGTTGATGTGTATTGGGGTGGTGGTGTTGGTGGTGGTGACAGAGAGGTAGGGTTTTATGGTGTGGTGTAGCCGGCAGTTGTCTACTGCAGGTCGTCGTGGATGCGCATGTGGCCCAATAGACCCATGCGATGCGTGAATGTGCAAGGGCAGTGTGGGCAGTGGAGGCGAGCTTGGTGGGTATAGGTTGGTGCTCCAGGCACTGGTTCGCCAGTCTCTGTGCGATGGATTCTCAAGTGACCGACCAGGTCGATGCAAGAGGTGAATAGTTGTGGAAAGTGTGGGCAGGTGAAGTTGGTGGTGTCGGTGTCAGTTGCGATAACGATGATAGGGTCAAAGGGTAATGAAGTGGGGATGGGGTTTGGCGTGGTGGGTGAGTCGTGAGGGCGGCCAATTCCGCTCTCTGAGACAGCTCCGTCGTCCGTGACTCACGCCATCCTACCGTCGTTTAGCTGACGCTCGATCTGAATAAATCGCTCCGGACAGCCGAATGTCTGCATGTTCTTCCACAGTCCTCCACAATTCACCATGTGGAGGGCTTTCGTCAGGTCCACAAAGGTTGAGTACAAGTGGGTCCGCATCTCCTAGCACTTCTCCTGAAGATGACGGGCGGCGAAGATCTTATCCGTGGTCCCGCGATGAAAACGGAAGCCGCATTGGCTTTCCGGCAGAAGGCCGTGTTCCAGATGATTATTCAGACGATTGAGGAGGATGCGAGCGAAGATCTTCCCGGCCATGTTCAGCAAGGAGAGGCGACGGTGATTGTTGCAGACTTGGCGGTTCCCTTTTCGCTTATAGATATCCCGATAGTTGCGTCTTTGAAATCTTGGGGGACTTAACCTTGACGCCACATCTCCTGCAAGAGCACAGTTATGTGATCCATTAGTTGGGGACTTCCGTGCGTGTAGACCTCAGCAGGGATCGCGTCCGATCCGGGAGCTTTCCCGCTGGAGAGCTGCTGCATGGTCCTGATGGTTTCCTGGAGAGATGGCGGGAGGTCGAGGTCCACGTTGGCCTCAAATTGCGACAAACGGGCGATGGTGGCGTCGGAGATGGCGGAGGGGCGGTTAACTACGCCTCCGAAATGCTCGGTCCATCTCTGTAGAATTGGTGCCTTCTCAGTCAGGAGGGTACTGCCGTCGGCGCTGAGGAGAGGAGCAGTGCCATTTGTTGGCGGACCGTAGACAGCATAATCGCGGAAAAGAAGGTTTTCCACCCGTTGCTTTCCGCGTAGCCTGGATCTCCTCAGGTTTGCGAGCACTGCAGGCGTTCTGCATATCACGCAGTCGTTGCTAAATGTGGCGGCGTCTGGGGTAGAAAACAGCTTTGTTAATTCGGATTCGATAAAACAGTAAAAGACGCACAACAAGCAGGGTTAAGTGCATACCGTCGAATTCATTGTTGACGCGACAACGATAACATTTTTCGATGATATATGAATGCTGAACGACATATAAACGAGTATAACCAACTTTCGCTTACTAAGTAGGTGCTTAAAACTTCGCTACGTCACAAACAGATAAAAGATATATTCCTAACAGCGATTAGCAACGACAGAGAAAGTAAGATTGTGCATATGCAAAACGAGCAGCCTTTCTGTGTCTAACCAGTGCCATCACATTGCATTGTAAGACTTTATTACCCAAAGTGGCGCAGGCGTGTTGGTCACCCCTTACATGTTACATTGGAGGACCAGAGAAAATGCCGTAATCTTGTACGAAAGCACTGCAAATAGACGCATCTTATTTTTGAACCTAGATTACGTGGCCTGTCTCATTAAAATCTGATAACGGAAAATGATGAGAGCAGTTCTGGACGCCTTTAAATTTAAGCACTTTGTTCGCTTATCGACATTCTTTAATGACACGTCCTCTGCTTGTGCAGAAATTTGATTTAAGTTATTATATCACGTACACAATCAGTAAATTTTATCGAAATTTGACATTAGAATATTTTTGTGCATTTTCATATGCTAATACATGACCTAGACTCCGGTTATGCATATGAGCGACTATTTAATTGAATGGATAATAATGTACCCGTCGAGAGTTTTAGTAACCAGATTTAGCCGAACTTAAAAAATTTATTTTATGTCCGATGTTAACCACGGTGGCCAACGTGCTAATACAGAGGTTATTTAAGAAAACCAGAGGTTTTATCAATTCGTAAATGTCAAATTAGCAGATTCGGTTAGTGCCGTAAAGTGCAGTAATAGCGCAGATAGGAATTCCTTCGTTCAAGTGGGCTGAAATTATTTTGCCGTTTGGAAAATTCTTCCGGATGTCACATAAATAAACAGCAAGGAATTGTCATTCCCAGCAGTTTATCAACAGTTTAGCAAAATATCAGTATTTATATGGGCGCTCTGCCATGCATTCATAATCGAAGAACGGGGGCTGAAAGCGAGCACAAAAAGTGGAAATGGCCTCAGTATATAAAGAAGGGCATGCTCTTCCTTTCACAGTAGAAAGCATATTAGTATTTCTCAGGAACGCGAAAGAAACGGCCAAAAATTGTCATATTTTTACTTGGCCTTACCGTGCAAAAATGCAAAGTGCACAGCCATCCGTCAACGGAGTGCAGTAGTAAAGCACATCTTAAACATGTAACTTATTAAGGAAAGTTTTCTTATTGATCGAAGGAATATTCGTTGCTGACTTTAGATGCAGACAGTTATTTTTCTCAAAATTGAAGTTTGATGTTTGAATGAATCTTTACATGTGACCCAAACGACCATTTTCCTGAAAAAGAGCGCCCCAACACTCACAACCCGATAAATGCCATCAATAATAATCCTATTTTAAATTGCTTAACAGACAGGTAATTCAGAACCTGTCTTTATGTAAGATCGAGTGAATACACAGAAAATCATGAAGCATTCAGCAAACTTTCGAGGCCAGCGTAATCAAAAACGATCGACAAGTGTAAATTAATTTAACGGAAGAAAACGCATGCCCATAAACGCAATATAGTAAGCTCACGATCCCGCCTGTCAGTTTTATTTAAATCTATTAGGTACCGACCGGCCTCATGGCATGTCACCTTACGAACAGGTTTGATCCTACGACGTCCACATCCGTGAAAACAAGCAAACTGCAGCTTCTCTTGTTGAACACGAAACACTGGAAAACTGCTTTGGAATCTACGCTTAGAATGTAGGCAGTTAATAGACCGTCTTATTTGAAATCGCATTACCTACTAAACAATATTTAGATATAAAATGAACGTCTAATCATTAGACGTTATTTTATGTCTACTTTCATAGTTGCTACGTTTTCGATATGAAAATACATGTTGTACATTTAAAACGAAGTTTACTAAATTAGAACTGATTTGGAGGTTTTCAGGACAATGCGCTTTTCTAAATAAGTCGGAATTTCTAAAAAACGCAACGCTGTCTTTAATATTTTTTGCGTTTTTTTTTAAACTTGTTCTTATTTAAATAGAAATCGGACTTACGAAATGGTGTCGGTTTATGAGTGGTTGGGAATCATTCGTAAGTTTCGACACATTTCATGAGTTAGGTCACTAAATATACTATACCCAGCAGACATACCGGTATGTCCGAACTATCATGTGATTATGTCGCAGAATAATAAATGTCATTATGTGAAATCAACAAATCCTTCCTAACCAAAACTGCATTTCAGAATGTTGGCCAATATCATGAGGTCGGCCACACACTGAATTCCAAAAAAACTAGTTTGTTCAGCTCGTTTTTTGTTCATTGATTTCTGCCTAGAATTGGAATAGTGGGGGCATTCCAAAAACCATTTTTCGGAAAATAGACCGCAAGCTGAAATGTGAGTTGTTGGTTTGCTGGTTGTCATCAGGTCGACAATAATATATGTAAATGTATCAAATGACTGTTTCTTGTGTTGAAATCCCGACACGTTGTTTCGGACTGAGAGACAAAATAGTTTTACCATTTCCGCTTAGGATATTTTGTAGTGAGGCCCCAATTTTGCATCCTGTGTGTACGTAAGCACGTTTTTCTGTGATCATTACATGTTATTGTCAAGCACGGTTTGGTACCATTCTCCAGTACCCCATACGGTCAGAGCAAGGGAGTATGAATTGATGTTTACAATGCAGGACGCCCAGCTATTCCAGCTTACACATAAGCAATTCCTCAAATCTACCAGGGGCTTAGAAACCACTTGTAGTTCCCTTGATCAGCTCACACGCTCGAGATTAAAAGTGAAAAACGTCCAATCTATGATGTCCTGAATACTCCTCCCGTCTGTCCGCTCAAAAGGCCAATGAATATGGGATTAATTTCTAGCCTAATTCCACAGTCGCCCGGCGGCTACATATGCTGAACACATTAAAGATCCCGTAGAGCCAATTCCTATGTCTTCATAAAACACTTGTGAGTACAAATGGGGGTGCAAATTTGGTTGGATGAGTGCGCCCTGCTGTGTTAACGCAACCGGCATCGCGTTTGTTAAAAACATTTTTATTAAAAACTGTTTATCCGGCGACAGGGCTTATTGCGTCTTAGAAGAGTTCAATAATTCTTTGAATTTTATAGCCTTCTTTACTTTTTGATTGGTTCTTTTGTTTTTGTTGATGCATGCGTTTAATTTCCGCTTATGGCAATTCATGTAGCCCTTCTCTTCCTTGCGATGAGGTCTCCGTTCGTTTATAAAACTTAGGGTCATTCACATGGTATATATTGCAAATGACATCAATAAAGAAATTAAGCCGGACATTTACAGAGGTCTCATTGTCTCAAAAGGCTCAATTTTTTAAAAGTCTTCTTAGAAGAAAATAAAACCGAACATTAGGCGGAGAAATTGGAATTTATGCAGTCTCAATTCAACGCTCCTGGTAAGTAGAAATGAGGACGAAATAAATAAATAATAAATCACAAATTGCAAAACAATATGTAGAAGTAAAAATTCCAGAACAGTCTAAGTCGGCGAAAAGCACACGACCGTGACTTTGCCGCGACATTATTTTAGAAATTTTCGTTGGTACCCTGCGTACGTCCCAGTCAGTTGCTAATGCTAAACTGTTTACGGGTGAACAAAATAAATTGTTTTTTTAAAGTTGAATAACCATGTATGTATATTCCACATTCCATCAACTTTTAATTGATCGTTTCCTGCAACTAAAATTATTTAATCATATTCAGATGAGATACCCATCGGCAGCGCTATGACAGATGGACGAATAATTGTGCTTTTGCGGTGATATACCAATTATCGCTATTTACCAGTTTAATTCTCTGAAGGAAATATGTTTTACTCGATTCACGGTTCGCAGAAGGCAGTGCGATAATGTATAATGCATCATGTAAGGCCATCATGTATATAGACATCATGTAATATTCAGCTATTTATCTCACTGCCTTGTTGCACACGCGGCGCTCTTCCATGCTCAAGCTAATTTAAGGCGATTAGTGGTAATAGTGCTAGCAACGAGTGACAAATTATATACGCGTTCCACACGCCCAGTGCCAAATGTGCCAGACTTTTTCGTGGGTCGTGCACATAAAGCAACACATAGGACAATAAAGGTCACATTTAGAAGGAGCTCAGAGGCCTTCGCATTTTTCGGGATTTCTGTCTACTGGACGCTGTGTAATTCCGTTTGAATTAAAAAATTAGGCCGTAACCAGCAAATTAACTATCCACACGGAACTTCGACGGGACTTTCTCTGGGACAACCATTCTCTTTCGGCCCACGTCTCTGACAACGGAACCGCGGGACTACCCATCCCAAGAACGGCTTCATAAATTTCGCTGCCGGTTTCATATCGTTGGTCTGGTTAAATAGCTTCTCCTACAAACTTAAAAACTTCCCCAGTGTATTTACTTGAAAATGGTAATCGAGGAAGTGTCTTCGGGATGTTTCTCAAAAGGTGCGCCCCAGGCAGTAATCGAGCCCAGTCAGGGAGGTGACGAGACCGACGTCGTTACCAATGGACCAATGACTTGCAGCAGACGGACTAAAAATAATGATGTTTTAAACAATGCACATTGCGTAAATGAATGTAGCGTAAATTTTTCCGCTATCAAATCTACTTCTGCCAAAATAGCCAGGAGTTTAGTAACTTAAATGGATGTCAACTACAACAACGAAGATAAAAACCATACGTCGTGTTTTAGACTTCTCCACAAATTCTTGGAGATGGAGAATGAGATAAGAGACATAAAAATAGAGATGGATTAGTTGACGAAACTTCCTCGCCATTCACACGCATAGAAAAAAGTGGCCAATGTCAGACCCTAAGAAAACAAAGGGGATCTATACAAGCACATTCTCATTAACTATATCAACCATCAAGGAAGAAGACAGCCCGTCTAAGGAAGCTATCACAACTGAGAACCGACCGCTTGTGCAAGAAAAGAACGACACAGAGGGATCTCAGGGAACGCAGAAGTGCCCCTGGGCATCCCGAAAAAATGCAAGCCAGGGTGTCCATATGAGAGAGCAGATTCCACACGCAGTGCCAGGAAATACCAGACAGTCGAAGGATGCATCGCACGACCAAGAATACTCGGTGGGTGAGGAACCCTGTTGTAGCTATGCCTATGAGACTGGCTCTGAATCAAACGATGATGAAACGGAAATTGGCAAAAACGTGACCGCGCGTGTAAAAATAAACGCCGGGGATCTCTATCAAACAGGCACCTCGACTTAAAACGAAATTTCGTCATAAAGGGAGCTGCTGAACTATTTCTTCGGTTACAAAACAAAGAATCAAACACGATCTCAACCGCTTTCGATCATTTTAAAATGCCGTCGTTCAGGACAAAGAATGTTTTACCGTGCACAGATCTTTCCGTCTAGGTAACACAGATGCGTCGTGTGGACTACCAAGGTCCCTCAAAATCATTCCCGCAAACGAATTCCAGGCTTCAAATCTCCTAGAAGGGAGGATGGTTCTCGTCATCCGCATATGGAGGTGTTTTTTCAGCCGGATTACGAACCGACAGAATCGCATAAGGTGAGGGATCTCTGGAAAGTACTAAAGGGGAGGACAGAAGAGGGGAGAAGGGGTTGAAACTATGAAAAGGGAAGATACTTCAGATCAAGCGATCGTTCTTCTGGCTAACCCCCTTTGTTATCAGGGATGGTGACCTCCGCGAGAACAAACACTGAATGTGACGTATTCAATTGTACAGAGCCTCTTGAACAAGATTGATGGACTTGTAACTATGTTCGTAGAACACACGACATATATCACTGCCTTGACAAAACCTTGGCTTTTTGATGATATTGGAGATCATGAGGTATCTCTAAGAGGCTACAAACTGTTTAAAAGAGAGAAAAAGCCGAGAAGGAGAAGTCGCTGTCTATATTCGCACAACCTGACCGCGGTCCCTGAGCGAAATCCAACATCAACAGTGGAAGTGGAATTCTTATCCTTAACTATCTCCACTGAATACGTCCGGCCACTGGCAATTGCACTTGTTTATCGTTCCCCAAACCAGATTCCCGAACACGATAGCCTTCTCCTAACGAAACTGAACAAAACCTGCTCAGTTAACAGCACTCCGTATACGAGCAATAAGGTGGTTGGTCTCGTAATGTAAAATAACTTCTATATAAGCGGAACACTGATGTGTGGAATGTCTTGTGACTTTTTCACTGTACGAGGACATCTGGAAATGAGAGTTTGCAGTCAGCATCTTTTTCGAGCGTGAAGGGTAATTTCTGGCAGTGTTGAGTTGCTAACGCGTTCCTGTTTGCTTTCTTTTGACGATGACAAATGTGCCAAATATATAGCGTGCATATAATTTTGGGTTAAATAATGGTTGGGTCATAGTTATCAATTTTGGCCTCGTGACCTCAGTAAGAAAACAAGAAATATGTGATCTCATAGGCTCTCTTTTCAGCTGTCGACTGTATTCATGTGTGAACGAAAGTTTGCTTCCAGATAAAAATTGAAGTGTTAAAGCAAAGTTTTCTAGCTGTGGCGACGATGCAAAACTCAGATGTTGTAATCCTACTATTATTTAATCCCAAATTATGTGTACGTGCACTGTCGGTTTCTGCCCACATGCGTATGACAGAGAATTTCTAGAGGCCATTCACTGTGATGATTTATGCATCATTTGACGAATCGATCTAGACAACATGCCCAAAAATCATAAAAAGATGCAGAAGATCATATTTAATCAAACGTGATGTCAGGCCAGAGCATCGACCCATTCTCAGCACTGATAAGGCAGTATCGAGTTTTCAGGCATCTTAAAATTTTGACTGCTTTTTACGTCTTCTACTCGTTTAACCACGACATGGGTAACCAGCGTCAAAAATGTGCGAAGCGAAATTAGATCAACTGCCCTAAGCACTCATGTTTTCGTCGAAAGACAGCTGAAAAAGGCATCAGATACAAGTAGCACACCAACATATAACCACCTTGCGTACACAGCTTGTACACCCTAAGGACAGGGTTGGCTATCTTGATAGGAAAGGTGTTCTCTACAAAATACTATGTTCCAGTTATGATGCCGCCTATTGTGGCCAAGCTGGGAAATCTTCCTCTACACGCAAACATGAGCATCAGTTAGAGGTGAGGAGACGAGATCATTTATCCCAGGTGGCTATGCACACAGTGGACACAAATTTGCATGGTAGAACACCCGCATTGTTGGCGCCTGCCCAAAAAGGAAAGACCGCGAATTCCTGGAGGCAATGCACTCAGATGAGGCAAGCATCAATCAGCAAATCGATTTAGATGCCTCATACAAATTTCTCAAGGACAAATGGAAGCGAGTGCCGCCAATGCCGAGGGGATGAAGCGCATTGGCGCAGGCTTCGGCCAACCATAAAATAACTTGTTCCACACGGTTAAACAGTTAACTGTTTGTGTACATAGCCCAAAAGTCTGACAACGAGCTGGGGAACCAGACTCGACATTTTACTCCTTAAAGTTTATTCCCCTCCCTAAGAATCTTACTTATTTTCAATATGTATATATATGCGCGAAGTTATATCGAACGACATATACATTTGCTTAAAAATCAAGCCAACATTTGGGAGTTCCACGATCGAATAATTTAGAACAATTTCACGTGCAAAGCATAATCGTAACCCGCAATACAGAGAACAGTTAATAAATGCTATTGCTCATGGACAGACTTCTGTGAACGTGTAAGTGATAAACTCATTAGCTGGGCACAGTAAGTAAGCTATCCGGAAAACGAAAATAGCAGTATCCCAACAGTTACAAACTAGTAAATAAGAACAGTCGACAGCAGGTAACAGTGCACGGGCGTGTTCTTTGTCTTAATCAAAGTTGTGTCAAAGCGTATTGTAACTGATTAAAACAAAACGGACTTAAATGTCATTTAAATACTTCCCCTCCTAGGAGAACGGCGTTCAAAAAAAATTATTCTTAATAGAAGGAAAATGTGGGAGTGTCATGCATATTGTACAAGTTGGTAACGGTCGGGAAAACGGAGATGACGACCGCTGCGCGTAAGGGGAGTAATCTGTGGGATAAAGGAGGACGCGGGGTTACTGGGCGTAAATGGAGTCTGGGAAATAGCAAGTGGCAATGTGCCAAGTAGAGGTTGTTCGGTTGGAGAAGTTGAAAGAGGCTCGGTTTAAGCCGCCTTCAAGCGATCGATTGAAACCACGTCGGTGCGGCCTCCACGGTCAATTGTAAAATGCTTGACCTTGCGCGATAGTACTCGAAATGGGCCGTCATAGGGCCGTTGTAGTGGCCGGCGAAACGCTATCTACGCGGACACATACAAAAGAACATGTTAGTAAGTTCGGGTCGACGTACGACTTACTTGTTGAAGGACGTGGAGGAGTGGCTCGAAGATGAGTAATGACTTGGCGCAATCTATGCACATAATCGCTGGTATCGAGGTCACCTGAGATTTGGGAGTACCAGAAAAAATCCCCGGGAATCCATAGGGTGGTAGCGTAGACAAGTTCGGCAGCGGAACACTCCAAGACGGGCTTGAGTGCGGTACGGATACCGAGCATGACCAAAGGCAGATGCTCGCTCCAATGGTAAGTGTTGTCATGAGGTCGGAGCGAGGCTTTGATTTGCCGATGGAAACGCTCGACTAAGTCGTTGGATGAGGGGTGGTATGCTGTCGTGCGTATGCGAGAACGGCCCAGGAAACGACTCACCGTTCCTGTCGTCCGGAGGTCACGCCTGACAAAGAACCCCAAACTTACCGCACAGCCTCGCCTAGGAAGCCCGCATGCGAGCCAGACATTAGCACGCCGCTGAGTCATACGCGACCTCCAGCGGTCAGCAACACCCGAGGGCCTGCCCATGCGGGCGCTCCGGACTGGACCTATAGGAACTGGCAAACCAGACGAAGTCTGAACCCTTAAATACAAGGCCACGGACGGAAGGCTTTAGAGTTGATGTACACAGCGTGACTGACGCAGTAAAGCTGTTCTCTCCTATCCTGTCTGTCTTCTATTCCGCACAGGACTGGCGTCATACTAATTTGAGGATTTAACAAGTGGCGACGCAGGTGAACACGGAAAATGATCAGAGAAGAACAGATGCAGAAATTGTTGGAAGCACAGCAAGCCAGCTTTATGGCTCTTCTCGCAGGAATGCAGAAGGACTGGAAGCAGACAGGAAACGATGACAGAAGGAAGTGGCTGGAGGACGCGATCACAGACCCAGACGACGGGTTTACGTTCGATATGTGGTTTAGAAAATATGAATTAATGTTCGAAAGAGAGGAGAAAATTCTTGCTGACGGAGAAAAATTGGAAATTCTGTTGCCGAAACTTGGACGAATGGAACACGAGAAGTATGTCAACTTCGTCCTACCGAAGAAGCCGGCCGAAATCGAATTCACGGAGACGGTGAGAAACCTGAAAGCCTTATTCACCTATTCAAAGTCATTGTTTAACAGACGTTTTGAATGTTTTAAATTGGAGAAGAGTGTAGACGAAGACTATTTTGATTTGACAGGCAGATTAAATGATATGTAATAACAGGCTCATCTAGAGCACGCAAAAGCAAACCAGGTTAAGGCCCTGTTGTTCATAAAATCACTTACTCTACCGGAGGACGCGGACATACGCACGCGGCTGCTGTCCAAACTGGACCAGGATGGTGACACGACTGTACAGAAGTTAGCAGATGAATGCTTTAGACTCAGGAACATTAAACAGGATACAAAATTACTTGACGAAACAAACAGTCAACAGTTACAGGTGTTGGACATTAGGAAAAACTGGCCGCCACAGAGAGAAACATTTTCCAGAAGACCAAAGACTGCCTGCTGGCAGTGCGGTGGATGGCACTATGTTGTCGACTGTCCCTATAAAACGCAGAAGTGTTTCAAATGTTCGAGAGTTGGCCACAAATCGACAGACTGCAGAGCAGGACGACCAAGTCCCAGGAAACAGTGCAACGCCGTTTCTGATGGTCAGGCACGGGTGCTAGGCTGTGAACACCGAAAATATCTAACCGTGATCATAAATGGTAAATCTGTCAGGCTTCAAGTGGACACAGCGTCTGATCTGACGATTATAGCGGTAGAAACATGGCAAATGATAGGAGCACCCAGTCTTATCCCAACTCCTGTCACTGCAAGGGCATCAAACGGCACGGAAATGAAATTCAAGGGATGTTTTTCAACTAGTATCGGATTTGGGGATAAAAATTGTCTAGCAGACGTCTTCGTATCGGAGTGTCCGATCGACCTCCTGGGAAATAAGGCAGTTTCCGAGTTGGGGTTATGGAGTCAGCCATTTGACAGCATCTGCTGCGCAGTACAAGAAACGGAACAGAATCTGCGGGAGAAGTGTGCGAAAATGATGGAAAAGTCAGTCGGGAAATGTACCAAAACGAAAGCAATTTAACGCATTAAACCGAACAATAAACCAGTTTTCAGGCAGTGTCGTCGAGTTCCGTTTGCAATCCAGGAAGACGTGGAGAAAGAGTTGGAACGCTTACAGGAGAACGGTATCATGTACCCCACCAATTACTCCGCATGGGGTGCGCCAATTGTAGCGGTTAGGAAGCCAAGTGGGAACTTGAGACTGTGTGCTGACTATTCGACGGGATTAAACGATGTTTTGGAGGATTACCACCATCCTCTACCGACGGTGGAGGAAATTTTTGCCAAGTTAAATGGTGAAAAGTCATTTGCACGAATTGATTTTTCAGAAGCCTATTTACAGATAGAAGTGGAGGAGGAATCGCGGGAGCTACTGACGATCAACACTCCAAAAGGTTTATTCAAGTTTACGCGGCTGAATTACGGCATTAAAACGGCTCCAAGCATTTTCCAGCAGGTTATGGATACAATGTTTACGGATACGCAGGGAGCGGTTGCGCACTTAGACGACATTCTAGTAGTTGGTCGCTCGGAGGAGGAATTACTAGAAAGGCTGGACAAAGTCATAGAGAATCTCGTCAATTATGGATTTAAAATTAACATGCAAAAAAGCGAATTGTTGCGGAAAGAAATTCACCATCTCGGATTCATAACAAATGCAGACGGAAGAGCATCGGACCCCGAGAGAATGCTGACATTTCAGAGCATAAAAACTCCACAGAATGTAAAGGACTTAAAATCCTTCATGGGTCTTGTCAGTTACTACGGGCCGTTCATAGAGGGACTTCACAGTTTGAAGGGACCTTTAAATTAACTTTTGTGCAGGGATACCCCATTCGTCTGGTCAGAGGAGTGCCAAGCAGTTTTTATGACGATAAAGGCTAAGATAAATCATTCGACCATGCTCTCCCATTTCGAGTTGAGCAGTGAAACGATGGTCCAGGCCGATGCCTCTGACTATGGACTGGGCGCAGTCTTGCTTCAAAATAATGTGGACGGAAAAGTTCAGCCTCTAATGCATGCTGCGAGGTCACTGACGAAAGCAGAAAGAAATTACAGTCAGATAGAAAAAGAGGCTTTGGCTATGATCTTTGCTGTCCAGAGATTTCATCAGTTTATATATGGCAGACATTTCACCTTACACACGGATCATCAGCCTTTAAAGTTCCTTCTGGGGACGAACGCTGGCATACCGCAGCCTGCAGCGAAACTGATTCAGCGATGGGCAACAATCCTCTTGAACTATGACTTCACCATTCAGTACATACCCACGCAGAAATTTGGAGCCGCAGACGCGTTGTCGAGGTTATGTGAAGACAAAGAAAGTCGGGAAGAGGTAGTGGTAGCACAAACTCTGGCCGAAGATGACGCAGAACTTAGGGAAGTGATTCGAAAGGTTCCCATCACAGCCGAGCACATCAGAGTTGCAACAATGGACGACCCACTACTACGCCAGGTTAAGGAATTCATACGGCGTGTCTGGCCCGATGAAGACAGAACCCACGCATGTATTAAGGCTTTTAAGAATCGAAAGGATCAGTTGTACATTGTGCAGGACAGCTTAATGTACGATGGCCGAGTTATTGTGCCGGCTAAATATAGGGCACAAGTATTGCGGGAGCTACATGCTGGACACCCGGGTATAACAGGGATGAAGCAGCTAGCAAGAAAGTACGTTTACTGGCCCGGAATTGACGAAAATATTGGCCAGTCCGTACGTTGGAGTCCGTTTGAGCGACACGGCGCTCCTCTCCTACCCATTGTGTGGCTCAAAGTGACTCCAGTGTACGGACTGGCTAATGCGATGAAGTTTTCTGTCATTCATTCATTAGAACTGTCCAATAAGGAAGATCCCCAAATTCCTGGAAGCAATGCACTCAGATGAGGCATGCATCAACCGGCATATCGATCTAGATGTCAGATACAAAACCGTTAATGACAGCTTAAATCTGACTCAAACAATCTCGAAATGACTTTAAGTAATCATAGAATCCTTTGTCAAACTCGGTCTAGAAGTTAAATTTTTTTGCACGTCTATTGTCTAATGACGAACCGGGGAACCAGCATCGAAAATTTACACAGTAAATTTTACTGTTTCCAAAAGAATTCCATTTTCCTGATTATATCTCTTAGGATGCCTACTTTTCACATTATACATAGAACTGTATTAACGTGACAGTAAATAGTGGCACAGAATTTCGCAAACAGACATCCCATTGGCCCAAAAGGTTCAAGTAGAAAATGAAACCAAGTATTATATGAAGATATTGAAATAGATGCAATCTCAATTAAACGTTCATGGAAAATAAAAAGTTCAACGAAATCAAATCGTAGATCATCATAGTGACGACAATCTTGCATACGACATTAAAGGGAATGATGCTGATGCATAACAAATAAACATCTTTGCGCGGGGCATATGACCGCAGTGAAACAGTGGACTTTGGATGATGTGATGTATTTACTTAATGGGTTCGTAAGCCCAACCTGACTACTTATTTAATTCTAGTAGACATATCACACTGGAGTTACATTTTAGGCCGAACTTAGGAAATCATTATATTTATGGTCAGGTTTCCCGTCAAAATGATATTTGGGTTAGGTTTAATTTTGCCTGCCGTTCACAGTTTATTCAACTTCGACTTTTCTGGAAAATTAACTTTACATTACCCGTTTTCCGCAGGCTTGCACGCCCTAGTCTGAATATTTTAAATTTTTCGGCCTATCCCGGCACGCGATTTGCTACTGAAGGAATTAAGGAAAGCATATTTTGTGCATGTCTTTCATAAAATATATTTGAATATATGAACCCATCTGAAATCAATATTAAAAGTGCATACTGCACAATAGACCAGTTTTAACGACTAGGGATTTCACATGAGGTCTAAGAGAAGTGCATTCGAAAGCCAATATCCTGATTGTCTAGAATGTCATAAAATTAGAGCACGAGAGAATCAGTATACCCGCCCCACCAAATTAGTCCTTCCTAATCGAAAACGCCTTCCAGAATTTAGACTGAAATTTCAGGAGATCGGCCGCTCACTGCTAATCGAAAAATGAATGTCGACTGCTCGTGCTTTGAACATTGATTCCTACCTGGAATTTGAATAGCGGGAAGCAGTCAATGAAGGCAAGTTTTGCCAATGGCGGTTCGCAAGCTAGAACGTA